TAGGTGAGCTGCGCAGTTACCTTGGCTTGCAGATCACCCGGGACAGAGCACACCGCACCATCACACTTACTCAGTCACACATGGTGCAGCAGATCCTTCAGCGCTTCGGCTTCACTTGGTCCTCGGCACAGGCCACTGCTCTGGCTACAGGTCACTCGCTCTCAGCTCCACCTTTGGACGAGTCCAAAGAGCCGAGTGGTCCTTACCCAGAGCTAGTGGGCTGCCTCATGTACCTGATGACCTGCACTCGTCCTCACCTTGCGTACCCTCTTGGCCTTCTGGCTTGCTACATGGCTCCTGGTCGACACCAAAAGGTGCACTGGGATGCTGCTAAGAGGGTACTACGCTACTTGTGCAGTACATCGGGCATGGGGCTCGTGCTTGGAGGACGGAGTGACGTTGTCCTCACCGGGCACTCAGACGCTTCTTGGGTTGACGACCAGGCTACGCAGCGGTCGTCACAGGGTTACACCTTCAGCCTTGGCTCTGGTTCAGTTTCTTGGCGTTCAACATGCTCGTCTTCGATTCTCAGCTCCAGTTGTGAGGCTGAGATCTACGCCACAGCTATGGCTGCACAGGAGTTACGCTGGCTCACCTACCTGCTGACCGACTTGGGAGAGCGGCATTGTTCTCCTCCAGTGCTGTACGTCGACAACAAGGCCGACATTGCCTTGTGTCAGGAGCACAGACTAGAGCACAGAATGAAGCACATCGCTCTGCGTTACTTCTTGGCTTGAGAGTTGCAGCAGCGTGGTCAGCTTCGTCTTGCTCACATGGCCACTCGGGCCAACACTGCTGACATCTTCACCAAGGCACTTCAGTCTGGTGATCATCAGCGTTTCTGCACATTGTTAGGCCTTGTGCCCACTTTTTTTCACTTGCTGTAGACTTTGCTTATACTGTGATCTATATATATACCTACATGCTTGCTTTGCTAGGTAGAGATCACTGTACTATTGTTGTTGCATATATACCTCTCCATGTGAACTGGCCTTGTGGCCCTTTGCTTGTGCTCAAGTGTGTGGTAACGTTGTGATCCACCCTGAGCTTGCTTTGCTTCTCTTGACTGGTCTTGTGACCCCTTGCTCTCCCCCGCTTTGCCTATGGGGGTGTGTCAAATTATGTGCCTATTTCAAAATATAATGTAGGCTTTAGTGGGGTAGCTAGTGTAGGGTATAGTTTCTGCTACTTGTACCCAACTTTCTCGATAGTGCCATCACCTTTCCCTTTACTCTCGACAAAGATTACCCTAGGGATCGAAGCAAGGGTTGCAGACGGAAGCAGAGGAGGAAACAACAGTGAACAAGGAGGAGAACGAGCAAGAGACCAATATGGGGGAGGAAATGTGGGACCGGAAACGAAGAGAGACGATGAGCGGTCCCTCGAAGGGAAACGGATCCCGAGGAGACAAAGTGCAGTTACAGGCAGGAACGACTACTGCAGTGGCCGCTAATGCGACTTCTGTGGCTACTGCTGCTGTTGCCACTGCTATTGCACGAGCTGCAATCTCGCTAAACGTCGCGGGCCCACAGAGGCAGGCCCTCCCGTGGGTGCACCCCTAAACCCAGCACCCCTAGGGGCAGCAGCCCCAGCGCTAGCGCACCAAGAATCAGCAACTCCATAATCAGCACCCCTAGAATCGGCACCTCCAGTAGCAGCACCCTCGTCATTAGCGACAGGACCCTAGCGTCAGCACCGCCAGCGTCAGCATTCCTAATGTCCACTATGACTTGCTGCGGATTCACCAAAGTTGGTGTGCAACTAAGAGGACGAGGAAGAGGAATCTAGTGAAGGTGACAGATGAGGAGGTGCAACCCAGGGAAAGGGGGTGATGTGCGACACACTTGACGGAGCAGGACAGCAAGGGGGCAGGACTGCCGAAGGAGCGGGACTAGGAGGAGTGGGAGTAAGGAAGAGGGGAGGGGGGGGTATTAGGGTACCTGTGAGAGGGTAGAATGCGTACAATGTATCCTTGTACATCACGAAGGAAGAGTGCGTGCAGAGAGCTTCCCCGCGCGAGGATCGCGGACATATGCAAGGCACCTTAAGACGCAAAACACACACGTGACACCAGATGCTCCAATCCAAAGAAGGGTTGGTGAATCCCGTGAGCTCGAAACACGAGGCTATAGGTTGAACTGATGCGAAGTGTAGCAGACCGCAAACAGTCGCATTCAATGAGGCTCACAGCCATGAATCATGAAGGTGCGGAGCTCTCCATGACCAAGCCTATGCGATCCTTAGCTGCCCCATTCTGTCGCGGGGAGTCTGGAAGTGTGAAGTACTTGGAGATGCTCTGCTCAGTGCAGAATTGGGCAAGTCCGCGGAAGTTGAACTCACCACTTTGGTCGGAGTGCAGGCAAAGCACGTGGAGGACGCACTAGGCATGCGTGGTCCGTAATTACGAATCAGGGCATTAGAAACATCTGCCTTCCTTCGCAGGGGGAACATTGGGGTGTGGCGGGGAAGGTCGTCTACAACAATGAGGAATTAGCGCTTTTGAGGCGGCCTAGCGACTGTGGCAGGGCCTAGACATCCATGTACAAGGTTTAAAGAGGCACAGTAGCAAGTGGTAGCGAGGAGCAGGTGAGGGGCGGCGCGCTGCCATCCCTTGATGCGAGGCGTGCACGGAAGAGCAGACGAAGGATGGAGTGTGAGGAGCGACCATGGGAGTTATGAGACAAAATGAGACCTAGCCATGTGAAGGAGACGGTGATGATACAGAAGGGACGGATGGGTGAGTGACCGACAAGAACACGATGAGGCAACCTGACCGGGCGCATCAACCAGACTAAACGCTGACACCTAGGGGGATGCAATGTGCAAGGTGAAAAAACATAACGACTGCTCCCTGGTGCTCTGGTTGTAGCGTTCGTGTAGGTTTTCGACCTCTCATGTACAGGATACGTGGTGGTGACGCGAAGGTCCTGAAGACGTCCAACACCTTCCAAGTTTATGGATAACGAGGGGATGTGAATACCTATGAGAGAACCTGTGATAACTTTCGGACGCGTGAGCGTGGTAGTACTACAAACGACAACTGGTCCAAAAGTAGGGTCGACCAAAGTGATAGTGACTGGCCCCGGAAGCTGTGAGACGGTGGTATGGTCACGGAAAGATGCATTGGGATGCGCCAGGGCTGAGCATAAAGGACAGAGACACGTTGTCAGTGGCCGCACTTTAACTAGCAACAACACAAGTTCCTACACTAGAGATAGGCAAGCATCCTAGTTCAGGCATAGGCAAAAACTGATACCCATAAAAACTAGAATCAACAGAGTGCAAACCAGAAGAAACATCATACATGTCTATGGTAAATACAAGATAAATGCGAATCAGATGCGCCAGTGCGGAGGAACCGCCTACTGGCGAAAGCTGTTGTAATAGAGATTATCGAGGCGGCAGAAGCAGTGCACAATCGAGTGGCCGGGGCGCCTGCAGACAGTGTCAGTGCCGGGGCCAGTGAGGATTCTGTACAGGCAGGGCTTGCCGTCGCAACGACAAGCCCCCCAGCTGTCAGAGCCACCATTGCAGGCAACGCTCTTTGGACCACCAGGTCCTCGCTTCTGTTGAGGGCGCTAGTGCTTGAAATTCTGCTACTGCTGCTGCTGCTGCACCTGCACCTGCTACTACTGCGGCTGCTGCTTCCATTGCTGAAACCCCCTTACACTTCCAGGACCAGCGCCTCCTCCTATCGGACCTAAAACTCTAATACCGCCCCCAGTTTCGGCTTCACCAGACACTCCAGCACCCCCACTACCCACCACCACCACCTTCACCTCTGCCACCCTTCCCACACTTCTTACCGGTACCTCTCTTGCCAAGCTGCGTCCCTCCTAGGGCAGCAATAGCCGCAGCCTTCGTGGTAGCAGGAAACCCAGCAGTGGCAAGAAAAGCAATAAAGGTAGGGAGCTGCGGCAGGGCGCACCCCTCAAAGAAATGGGGGACAACTGGACCAGTAGGAGAGGCAACAGAACGAAGGTGCTCCTTGATGTCACGAAGAGTAGTCTTAATGAGGTTGATGGTGAGCTCGGTGGGGTGCCTTGCAAGGGAAGTGGAGTGAGCAGTCGAGAGGTGGCTAGGGAGATGCGTCACAATGAACTAGAAGGTGAGGTGGATAGGCGGAGGGTGGGTCTCAAGCTAGGCAAGGGTGCGGGCACCACGATAGCTAGTATCAAGTGCACGCTGCTGTCCGCTGCTGAGCGCACTAGGGCTGGCTGGCGTGCTGGCGCTAAGGCTGACTGGAAGTGCTAGGGCTGGCGGGCAGTCTAGGAGGCGGCCTAGAGGCGAGGTAGGTGGTGAGCTAGGCTAGATGACGGTGAGCGGAAGCGCAGATCTAACCTAACTGATTGCATGTCAGGAACAAAATGTGCACTGAATGAGGGAATGCAGGTACAAGGAGTCAACACTAAGGCTGCCAAATGTAACCACCTGTTGTACTTCATACATTCCACACGAGCCTCCACCTCGTGCACAAGCCCCCAGTTAGGTGTAGGCATCCATGCACATTGATAATAAAAACAGAGGAGACATGACCCTGTGAGGGCTTGTTCATTCGCTACATGCTGCAAAACAGGGTATTCCTGTACATCACGAAGCTATAGTTGTCCTGCCCACCCCTGGGATCGATCGATCCCACACAGGATGGGCCGTGGGGGGTGACTACAAGAGACAGTAGGTGGTGGGAAAATCGGACTGGAGGTGAAAGGGACTGGAGAACGGGGGGAAAGTTGTGGGTGGGTGATTTGAGAGGAGACGGAGTAGTTTGTTGTTACGGAACGGTACTAATGAGAGGCTGCAACGACAATGAATGACACGTGAAAAGTGCAGATAAGAATCTGATCCCTTTCCTCTCTCCAGCAATTTTTACTGGTGAGTTATTGTGAGGACTTGCAGGAGACAGAATCTTTTGGAAATTCCACATTGATCATTCACCTAGAATGTTACACTGGCAATCAGGATGCAAGCACCGTATACTAGTTTCACAACCGTTGTCTAGGCTAATCATCACTGCCACCATCACCATCATCATCATCATCATCCTCCCCGCCACTCGAGACAGGGGCCACCTTGCAAGAGAAGTCGATGGTTGCCCGTCCACTGCACAGGAAAAGCCGAGGAACACCCAGTTTGGTTTAGGGACTCAATTCCACGCGGAACCTGATCACTTACTCCTTAGATGCAGGGTGGCTTGACAGTCCCTAAGTCCAGTACATGTTGCCATCGTTTTCACTACCGGTACTATTCCCTCACAACATGCACGAAGAGGAGAAGAGACTTACACGCTGTCACCGTGGAAAGCCAGAGTCTTGCTGTTGGAGGGGGAGTGGGCCCAGATAAGTTTGTTCAGTCCGGTTGGATTCACAGGAATAGTGCCGCCGCTGGCACCACGGCGGAACCTGGGCAAGCAGAGAAAGGGGAAGGAACGAGCAGGGTAGGGTATGGCGATCAAGAAGAGGAACGCTACATGTGGGGCTGTGGGGCTGTCATGCACGAAACCACACAACCTCTTTACCATCACCACTGATGCACAGCACAGCACCGCACAGCACAGCACAGCAGCCTGTCAGCCTCTTTCAAACCAGTCGCACTCACATCACGACACCGGACCCAGTGCCCCTCTTGAACACAGTAGGGTTCCACTCCAAAGGGCTACTAAATGTCATGCTAGACCGCCCAGTCTCCCAGAAGAATTTAAGGACCCCCCAGTCACACACCCCCCCAGTCACACACCCCCCCAGTCACACACCCCCCCAGTCACACACCCCCCCAGTCACACACCCCCCCAGTCACACACCCCCCCAGTCACACACCCCCCCAGTCACACACCCCCCCAGTCACACACCCCCCCAGTCACACACCCCCCCAGTCACACACCCCCCCAGTCACACACCCCCCCAGTCACACACCCCCCCAGTCACACACCCCCCCAGTCACACACCCCCCCAGTCACACACCCCCCCAGTCACACACCCCCCCAGTCACACACCCCCCCAGTCACACACCCCCCCAGTCACACACCCCCTAGTCACCCGCGCACTCACATCATGACAGTGGAGCCGGTGGCCCTCTTGAACACGGTGGGGTTGTACCCCAAGGGGCTACTAAATGCCATGCTAGACCGCACAGTTCCAGAATCATAGCAGGGCGTGCTTCTTAGTCACGCGCACTCACATCATGACAGTGGAGCCGGTGGCCCTCTTGAACACGGTGGGGTTCCAACCCAAGGGGATGGAAGCGGGCTTCAGCGACTGCATCGTGTACCCCGTGATCAGGTAGCTGCCGAGCGTGCCGCCCATGCGGTTACCGATGATGGCGTCAGCCGGCGCCATCTTGCCGTTGCTGGACCAGGCGAGCGAGAGCCAGCCGTTGTTGGCGCCGCTGCCCGGCTTGGCCTCCATTGCCAGCTCGATGACGTTCTTGTTCACCTGCCGCCAGTGCACCAGCAGGCTGGACGGACGGGAATCCAGGGTCACAGGGAGAGGGAGAGAGGAAGGGAGGTGTGGTAAGTCAACGCATAGAGACGGAATGCACACCACCTTCGGGTTCCCCTGCCGCCAGAGCACCAGCGGGCTAGTTGGACGGGGAAATTGAAAGGGGATCACAGGAAGAGATGGGGAAAGGGAGAGAGGGAGAGAAAGAATAGACTTGGTGGGACGGCGCTCAGAAAAGGGCAAACGGAACACTCACTCATTGCTCATCATACGTTGCTCACACGCACAACGTGTGGACTCACAGGGGTTTGAGCTGGAGCATGTAGGTGAACCCCGGGAGCGTCGACCAGGGACAGAGCTTGGAGCGCTGGGAGGGCGGCACCACGGGCACGGGCGGTGGCTTCTTGCCCGGCGGGCTGGGGGACGGCTTGCCGGGCGACGCGCCGTTGCACGCGAAGTTCACCTGCGTGCTGCCGCTGATAGGGGGAAGAGGTGGGGGGAGAGGTGGGGGGGAGGAGGAGGGTTCGGAGGAGAGAAGAGTGTGAGACGATGAAGCGATGGGCGAGGGTGAAGGAACCGCGTGGGCAAGTTGATTCGAGGGGCAACAGTCGAAGCGCTCAACGTGAAGGAACCCAGGATATTTGTGGAGTATAAGATATGGAATAGTGGGATCGCGGTACGTCTATTGGGAAGCTCACATGTTGGAGCCGTGATACGCCACGGACTTGCCGCCGTTGGTGGAGTAACCCCAGATGATCTTATTAATGCCCTTCACGCGCACGGGAACGGACCCTCCGTCGCCCACGCCTCGCGTGAACTTCATCACGGTTTTCCCGCCGCTCGTCGCGCAGCTCTTCGAGCCTAGGTTGACCCCCCGCGCGGGCGCGACGGAGGAATAGCTCGCCATGTGGTACGCGGAGACGGCGTTCCCCGGATTCCCGACGACGGCGACGGACGGCGCCATGAGCCCGCTGAAGGAGAACGCGACGGAAAACCATCCGCGTGCCGCGGCGCCCGAGGCCTCCACGGCGAGCGGAATGGACTTGCCGTTGTTGTTGGCGTTCCAGTGCATCACGATGCTGTACCAGGGGGGCAGGCGGGGTGGGAGAATGTGAAGTGAGGTCATCAAAGTTCCGACTCCCGCATTCCGTTGGTCGTTTTTCTCAACCCCGCATTCCGTTGTCGTTTGAACGTACATTGACTCTCAGTCATGAGACTTCTACGCTCGAAGCCGCGGCGCTGCCCGTCGATCACTGCGACGACGATTCTCTACGCTTAACAGACGCTCGCATATCCCATTCATCGCAACTTGCCCTTTGGCGAGCCTCAAGGCGGACGTGAAACCGGGCTTTGTGAATTTCCAGAAGTGTATAAAAAAATTGGTTCTCGAAAGTGCATCGCGTCTTACCCCGGGGCGAGCCGGAGGGCGGAGGTGTATCCGGGCATGGCGGACTTGCTGCACGACGACAGGGCGCCCGCCACAGCAGTTGCGATGGGCGCCGCTGTTGTCGTTGCGGTGGTGGCGGCGGTGGCGGTGGAAGCGGAGGAGTTAGCTGCGGTGGCGACAATGATTGTCGAGAGGAGCAGTAGACACGCCAGGGACTGGCGCACCGTCATGTGACATCTGACGTTTCCTGCCAGATTGCTCTGCTCTCGTCTTCCAGCCATGATGAAACGAACAGAGCAAGACACTCCGGTCGAAGCGAAATGTAGCGAGAGGTGGAGGGGAGGATAGACTCGCCCCACAAGTCTCTCTACCTTCTACGGATCTGCTTCAATTCAGCTCAAGAGATATGCGCTGAACTGAAGTCGAATGACAATATTGCGTTGGAAGCGCCGAGATAAATGTGCGGCGTTGGTAGGGATGGAACCTCCCTGGCGGCTTTTGGGGAACGCCGAACTCGAGCCGAGCCAGACCGAGGCGAGGCTCGCTTTCTTGCCCTAACCCAACCGCGTCAGCGAGCTTGAGTCATACACGAGCCATGTCGGTAGTATGGTCCGGTTATCCGCGCTGGCAGAAACTCGCTGCCTCCATTGGCCCAGTTTTACAAGTAACAACTGGCAAGGGAAAGCGACGCGCTACCGCACGGGCTCTACCACCACACCAAAGCGGGAAAAGGTAATCCCAAACCACCAGGTAGGCAGGTGTTTCTGCTCTGCCGAGCCTTGACAGACCCGCTGTGGTCTTTATCAACCTCCCCGCACCGAAACCATAACACGATCACGAGCTTGCGACACAAGCTTGCTTGTGACCACAACTTGCTCTTGTAATTGTAAAGCGAAGCGTGACAAATCAGCATCAAAGAGTATCCCAACACGAACAACTAATAGCGGATCATGCTGACACAATGGCGTCTGACGTGCCTTTGTCTGTTTGGTTATTCCCCCATCTTCTCCATGTCGGTGAGCTGCGAACACCAAAGCCTCTCGGATCACCAGCCGCCCACATGGAAAACTGCAGCTTCCCACAGCTGCTCAAGAAATTTAGCCTACACCATCAATGCGGTTGCTTTAGGCACGTAGCAGGTTTCTACACAATAGAATATTAAATATATAAGACTTTCTTTGCTTGATTTTACTATGAATTTCAGATTGAGAATGGAACCCAGCTAGAAACTCTGAGGCATGCAGCGGACCTCTATCAAGTTTGATTCTAATCTGATTATTATAATACAATTTAATATTACATATATTTGATTAAGATTTTTGGTCTACATAGAATGTGACATTCAATGTTCTACAATGTTTTGAAAACTTCATTTAATATTATCAGCTAATACTTTCCATTACATAGGCTGCAACCTTCTGTAACCCGATGTCTGCTTGAAAAACCCTCTGCGTCATAATCGGATATACGCGAAATGCACGACAACGAATGAGGTCCGCAGACCTTTACGATGGCTGCGATCAGTGCGAATGAGAGCTTCATCTCTACGTGGACTGATTTTGCCTTACGTGGCAATGCAAACGGTTCCTCGGGTGACCACAAGCCTATGTCAGAGGTCTGGCACGCTGACAGATCAGTTCTAATAACAATCAAGGTTCCACACTTGTGGTGCTCCACTAGTGGGTCACTCTGCTCAGGAAGTGCCTTGTAGGCTCGGGCCACGTCATTCAGTGGAGTCATTGGCAGCCTTCCATCAATGGATCAGGCTTGCGCTGACCACAGCTTCTTTGACATCTCCTGTGGCTCGTCTGTGTTGGTTTTGCCATTTCCTGCATAGACTGGCAGCCCCTTCTGTCAGTGGAACAATCTCCAAGGTAGCTCAGACACTTGCCAACCATGGCTGCCGCTCTCTCCAGCTCCGTGTCTGCTGGCATTCAGACTAAGGCACTCGGCCTCAAGGCCGCTGCTCCCAAGAAGAGCGTCGGTGCATTCGGCAGTGAGATGCACAGCGCTTCCCTGAGCAACACCTTCTCAGGCAAGCAGATTGCCGCTAAGGCCTCCAGCAGGTCCCACGCTGCAGCCAAGAGGACCGTCCTTGTTGTATGCAAGGCCGCTGGTGAGAAGACTGTTGTGGTTGGGCTCGCCGCTGACTCAGGATGCGGCAAGTCTACCTTCATGAGGCGCATGACTGGCGTCTTCGGTGGCTCTGCTGCTCCTCCCAAGGGTGGCAACCCCGACTCCAACACCCTTCTTAGCGACATGACCACCGTCATTTGCCTCGATGACTACCACTCCCTTGACCGTAACGGCCGTAAGGTCGCCAATGTTACCGCTCTTGACCCCAAGGCCAACGACTTTGACCTGATGTACGAGCAGGTCAAGGCTCTCAAGGAGGGGAAGTCCGTGATGAAGCCCATCTACAACCACGTGTCTGGCCTTCTGGACCCCCCGGAACTGATCGAGTCCCCCAAGATTCTGGTCATTGAGGGTCTCCACCCCATGTATGTAATCTCCACATTTGCCATTGGGACTTGCGGTGTGTGCGCACGCAAAAAGACTGACTGAGCATGCCTTTTTGCCTTTCAGGTATGATGAGCGCGTGCGTGACCTGATTGACTTCAGCATCTACCTTGACATCAGTGATGAGGTCAAGTTTGCCTGGAAGATTCAGAGGGACATGGCTGAGCGTGGCCACAGCCTGGAGAGCATCAAGGCATCCATCGAAGCGAGAAAGCCCGACTTCGACGCTTACATTGGTAAGCAGTTCAACCCATCTCATTCCCCATGGACCCGCAGGCCAACCCGCTAACCTCTACATCTCTGTTCCCCTGCTATTTCCAGATCCCCAGAAGCAGCACGCGGATGTTGTTATCCAGGTTCTCCCCACTCAGCTCATTCCGGACGACAACGAGGGTAAGATCCTTCGCGTGCGCATGATCCAGAAGGAGGGACTCGAGAACTTCGACCCCGTGTACCTGTTCGATGAGGGCTCCAGCATTTCATGGATTCCCTGCGGAAGGAAGTTGACATGCTCATACCCCGGCATCAAGTTCTACTACGGCCCTGACACCTACTACGGAAACGAGGTACGCTCACTTACGGCTCCTTGTACAAACATTCGTAGTGCAATGCCCTCTCTAACACAGAAGGGGGACCTTCGAAATGTATAAATATTGGCTGACTTGCACGCGTCTGCATTTTCAGGTGTCTGTGCTGGAGATGGACGGGCAGTTCGACAAGCTTGACGAGCTCATCTACGTGGAGAGCCACTTGAGCAACACATCGACGAAGTTCTACGGTGAGGTGACCCAGCAAATGCTGAAGAACGCCACCTTCCCCGGCAGCACCAACGGCACTGGCCTCTTCCAGACGATGGTTGGTCTTAAGCTCCGTGAAGCATATGAGCGCATCATCTCCAAGTCTGCAGTTGCTGTGTAAAGCTGTAACGACTCACTTATATGAACATTGTTTTATCAGACTGAAAGTCTGCTAGCCAAATAACACTCGGCCTGAAAGTCTGCAACTGAAGAAACATGAAGGGAATGGAATATATGGTACCCTGCCTACAGCTCCCTAAGAACGTGCGAAATCTGTGCTGCAGCATCGACACCTACGAACACTCAGCACTTTCCACTACGATCATATTCAACAGTGGGATTAGGTAAATGATATGAGAAATATGTGTGGTTGTGGTAAATACGGTGCACATGTTCTTAATTTATGGGCATGGGGCCCCGAAAAGTTATCACATTCAACAGTGCGACTGAACCATGTTAAAAGATGTGATGATAGTACGTGGTTGTGTTCGGTAAAGTTCACATGTTCAGAATACTTATTTCCTGTATAGACACATGAGTACATACATGGACCAGGGATGTATCTTCAAGTTGTAACACCCAAAACTTGTTGGCATGCCTTGTCTACAGGCTACAGCTCATTTCTTATCCTCTTGAACCTTGGTGGCAGCTGCCAGGAAGTTCTGTGCCTCGGAGATGCCGTCCACAATGGCACGTGTCAGCCAGCTCACCCCAACACGTGCCCTGTGCTCATTGGTTGGCAACCGGTACAAATATGCTAGCTTGCGCGCTGGAGAGCACAGGGTCAATGCACAGACAGGGGGCGGGCGTAGGACAGAAGAACCAATGGAGCTGAGTGGATTGGCTAACTGGGCAAACAGAAGAAAGTGGGCACTAGGAAGACTTGATTGCAAAACATCATGTGAGAGCTAGTTAATGCCAGAAATGAGAATGAATCAAATGCAAACGCTCGAAACAGGAGTAGCAAACCACCGTTGCAGGCACCGATGAAAGACGTGCAGGAGCTTAGTCATGCACTCCAACGCAGGCAGAAATGCCACTGGAGTGCTCACCTGTGTGCGCCGCCCACATGTGTGTACTGCTCACCTATGTGCGCCGCCGCTCTGTTTGGGCTGCTCACCTGTGTGGGCTGCTCACCTGTGTGGGCTGCTCTCCTGTGTGGGCTGCTCACCTGTGTGGGCTGCTCACCTGTTTGGGCTTCTCACCTGTTTGGGCTGCTCACCTGTGTGGGCTGCTCACCTGTTTGGGCTGCTCACCTGTGTGGGCTGCTCACCTGTGTGGGCTGCTCACCTGTGTGGGCTGCTCACCTGTCTGGGCTGCTCACCTGTGGGCCGCTCACCTGTGTGGGCTGCTCACCTGTGTGGGCTGCTCACCTGTGTGGGCTGCTCACCTGTGTGGGTGCTCACCTGTGTGGGCTGCTCTCCTGTGTGGGCTGCTCACCTGTGTGGGCTGCTCACCTGTGTGGGCTGCTCTCCTGTGTGGGCTGCTCACCTGTGTGGGCTGCTCACCTGTGTGGGCTGCTCACCTGTGTGGGCTGCTCACCTGTGTGGGCTGCTCACCTGTGTGGGCTGCTCACCTGTGTGGGCTGCTCTCCTGTGTGGGCTGCTCACCTGTCTGGGCTGCTCACCTGTGTGGGCTGCTCACCTGTGTGGGCTGCTCTCCTGTGTGGGCTGCTCTCCTGTGTGGGCTGCTCACCTGTGTGGGCTGCTCACCTGTGTGGGCTGCTCACCTGTGTGCGCAGCGCGCCCCTCAATAAGAAAGTCATCGATGAAGCCCACGGAGGCTGCTGCATCCTTGGACCCCAGCAGCACCAGCTCGCCCAAATGTTGGTACCTGGGGACGAGACACGAGCAAGCAGGGCGTCAGTGCGGTGGTACGTACGAGCATGGCTGAATCATTATGAAACCCGGGAAGGGTGCGATTGCAATGGTGCTTTGGTTGGAATCATCGTGAACAGTGAGCGCATTTGACACGGGCATAGCAGGAGAAGCCATGCCCATGATATGAACGAGGGGAGCATTCTCACCTGAAGGGCAGCAGGGGGCGGTTGTTGATGGCAGCCCAGATGTTCCACCCGACATAGTCCGCTTGCTGGAATGCCACCTGCCATGGTGAATGAAGCCCGAGAGTTGCGACCAGATATGAGAGTGGGAGCAGTAGAGTTGATTCGGTTGTGACTGAGCCACGTGCTCCGCCCGACACAGGTACCGTCTAGCGTATGTGAAGAAAGCAGATGCTGCGCCGTGACCACTAGCACATATGGAAAGCACCCTCATCCTGCAGCCCCCAATCACAATCGCCTGACAAACTGAGTAGAACCTGGAAAATCACCTGGAAAGCATCACCAGCAAGCTCTCACCTGAGCTGTGGCAGGCAACGGTCGCCCGTTGCCATCCGGCACGCATGCAGCATCCCCGAGGGCGAACACCCTGGTGAGCCCCTTCACTCTCAGACTCTCCTCCACGTCCGCCTGCCCCCTTGCTGTCCTCCTCAACCACTGCACCGCCCCCTCCCCTCCCACTCCTCCCACTCCCCCCTCCCCTCCTGTTCCTCCTGATGTTTCTGATAAAGCTTCTTCTGAGGCAGAGGCTGGGAGAACAGGCGAGCTGCCAACAGTCCAGAGAACAATATCGGCCTCCATGTCACTCTCTCTCTCACTACCAGAGCTGCCGGGTGATGCTGACTGGAGGAAGAGGCGCGCTGCTGGCTCGGCGAAGGGAGATGGGTCTGAGTCCGATGGGGGGGATGAGGAGGCGGCGGATGAGGATGATGACGATGATGATGAGGAGGATGATGATGAGGAGGAGGGGGAGGAGGAGTGGGTTGCATCAGCCATGCGTGTGACCTTGGTGCCCAGGCGCAGATGCACTCCCTTCTCTTTCAGCGCCTGTGCCCGGCAAGGGGGGGTGGCAGAAGGAGGGACGGTAAGGACAGTTCGCACCAGAGGGACAGACGAGCACGAGTTGCAACGGCAGGGTGGGAGCGGAGCAAGAGAGAAACAAATAGGAGAGAGGAGCACAGAGGAGGAAGGGAGAGATGGGCAGGGCAGCCCACGAGGAGAGAGGGGGGAATGCAGGAGTGGGGGTTTATGATCCGAGAAATGAAAGAGACGTACCCGCTCTGCAGCGCGTCTGTTGCCGGGAGCAGCAGCGGGGCACACAGCAGCGGCCGGGTCGACAATCTCAATGCGCCCCTTGCTGCCCAGGCGCTCCCCCACGGTGCAAGCGAGCTCCACCCCCGCATAGCCCGCCCCCACCACCACCACTCGAATGGGCGCTGGGTCCTCGCCTGCCTCCTTGGCCGCCTGCCACCGCTTCTCCAGCAGCAGCAGCCGCCCATCCACCGCCTGTGAGGGGGGAGTGATGGGAGCGAGGAGGCACGGGGAATGAAGGTGGTGCGGGAGGGGTGGAGAGAGGAGGAGGGATGCTTGTCTGGATAAAGCAGCTAGCCAAGCATGCCTTGCTTCACGTCCAGGTTGAAACAATGGCACCGACTGCCTCACAAACACTCCATGCAAATACGAGACGGGACCAGAGAAGATCGCACTACACCCCAGTCTACCACACTCTACCGTACTCTGCCGCAGCATACCAGAGCGTCGTCGAGGGTGCTGAAGGGCAGAGCTCGCCCCTTGGCGCCTGGCGCGAAGGCCATGTTGGTCTGCGCCCCCAACGCCAACACCAACCTGACAGGGGGGGACGGGGAATAGGGCGGGTTGGGTGGGCGGGGAGGGGGGTGCAGTGAGTGCAGGTGTGATGGCCATGTTGGTCTGCGCCCCCAACGCCAACACCAGCCTGACATGGGGGGTGCGGGAGGGGCGGGTAGGAATGGGGGGGGGAGGGGAGAGTAGGCGAAGGTAAGAGAGAGGGGAGGATAGAAGGGGGGAGGCGCAAGGCGCCTGGCGGGGAGGCCATGTTGGTCTCCACGCCCAACGCCAACACCAGCCTGGCCGGGAGGCGTGGGCGGAGAGAGGAGCGGAAGGGAAGGTAAGGGAGTGGAGGGAAGAGCACAGGAAGGAGCTTATGAGTATGACTTGCGATACATGGCGGAGGGAGGAGGGTGGGAGGAGAACTGCAGAGTGGGAAAGCAGGAAAGAGTGAGAAGGGGTGAAGGGCAGTGCGTGAACTGACAGGTTGGACTTTGAAGGTCATGTTACATGGAGGTCATGTTACATGGAGGTCATGTTACATGGAGGTGTGCAGTGAACCTACCAATCGTATTCCACCACCACTCCAGAAGCCAATCGCACGCGTCCACCTGTATCTCCTGCCACGTCAGCAGCAGAGGCAGCCCCGCCCTTGGTCACGTGCACTGCCTGCACGCCATCCTGCAGGAAGGCCACTTGGGTGCTCCTGAGCAGATCCGTGAACTTGGGCGCTATCTCCCACACAGTGACGTCTGATGGTGGGCGGGAGAGTGAGTGGGTGGGGGGGAGATGAATAGAGTGAGGGAGTGGGTGGGGGGGAGAGTGATAGAGTGAGGGAGGGTGGGCGAGCGAGAGAGGGGATGTCTTAGTCGGATCAAAAGTTGCTTCTGAGCAGATCCGTGAACTTGGGCGCTATCTCCCACGCCGTGACATCTGGTAGGGGGAGGGGCAGAGGCGGAGAGCGGGAGAGGGGAAGAGGGTAAGAGAGTAAGAGGGGGAGAGGGGTAGAGGGGAAGAGGGGGAGAGGGGGAGAGGAGAAGAGGGGGAGAGGGGAAGAGGGGGAGAGGGGAAGGGGGGAAGAGGGGAAGAGGGGGAGAGGGGGAGAGGAGAAGAGGGGGAGAGGGGAAGAGGGGAAGAGGGGGAGAGGGGAAGGGGGGAAGAGGGGAAGAGGGGGAGAGGGGGATAGGCGAAGAGTGGGAGAGGGGAAGAGCGGGAGAGGGGAAGAGGGGGAGAGGGGAAGAGGGGGAGAGGGGAAAGGGGGAAGAGGGGGAGAGGGGAGAGGGGGAAGAGGGGGAGAGAGGAAGAGGGGGAGAGGGGGAAGAGGGGGAGAAGGGGAAGAGGGGGAGAGGGGGAAGAGGGGGAGAGGGGGAAGAGGGGGCGAGGGGGAAGAGGGGGAGAGGGGGAAGAGGGGGCGAGGGGGAAGAGGGGGAGATGGGGAAGAGGGGGCGAGGGGGAAGAGGGGGAGAGGGGGAAGAGGGGGAGAGGGGGAAGAGGGGGAGAGGGGGAAGAGGGGGAGAGGGGGAAGAGGGGGAGAGGGGGAAGAGGGGGAGAGGGGGAAGAGGAGGAGAGGGGGAAGAGGGGGAGAGGGGGAAGAGGGGGAGAGGGGGAAGAGGGATGTGTTCGAGGAAGCAGAATCGGAGGACGGTACGAGAGAAACAGGCAGGGGAGCGAGGTGAACATGAGCAGACGGGGCCCAGGTGAACATTAGCAGACGGGGCCAAGCAGGCAAGAACACGGAGAACCACCAGGCAATAGCCCCTACCACGTTACGAGCAGGCAGAAATGAGAAACAAGGAGCGGTGCCCTGCCCACCTTGCGAGAGCAGCTCGTAGAGCAGAGGTTTGAACACGAAGCGCTCTGATTGGTCCACCAGCAGCACCTGCGGGCGGCGCTCGTCGCTCCACAGCAGCGAGTCCAGCCTCAACGCCGCGTACAGCCCCCCGAACCCGCCGCCCAACACGCACACGCGCGGCCGCTGGGAGGGGAAAGGGTAGGAGAGGGTGGAGAGGAGGGGGGCTGAGATGCAGGTGACGACATCTGGGGAGAGAGGTGGGGGTGAGCAGGAAGGGAGGGGACCGAGTGGTGGGGTAAAAGTCAGGGAGACGGGGGGAAAGGAAGGATGGGGAAGAAGAGGGGCGAGAGAGGTGGCGGCGACACTGAGAAACCCGCAGACAGGTGGATGCGAGAGTTGGATAAAGCATCCCCTGAAATGTCCCCCTGATATGCACCCCTCGTATTCTCCCTCCCTCCCTCCCTCCCTCCCTCCCTCCCTCCCAGTGGCTTCCTACTGACCGTCGGATCAGGCCACGTGTACATGTCGCCTCCCCCCTCGCATCTCGTCACGCCCACTCCCCTCCCTCCAGCTGCGGGCGGAACCGTCCCCACGTAGCGCCTCCCCCCCGCGCCTGCTCCCCCCGGCCCTCCCCCTCCCCCCGCTGCGGGGAGCAGCCTGCGTGCGCCGGTGACGGCGGAATGCGCCAGCCACGGCTGATACCACCACGCCTTGGCGCCACGTGGCGGCGGGTAATTGGCCGTCGGGCGACAGCTACGGAGCGCCGCGGCGGCGGGGGATGAGCGATTATGCGCGGCGGGGCTGGTCGTGCTGGTTGCGGTGGAGAGGTGTGATTGGAAAGCGTGAGTTGCGGCGGGGAAGGCGGCGGATTTGGCGGCGGGGAAGGCGGAGGCGGTGGAAGAGACACATCGGCCGCAGAGGCGATGTGCCATGCCTGTCAGCGAGCTGAGCGCCTGTAGGGAGCTGAATGAGTGTAACGAGCTCAAATCAGTGGCTACTGTGTTCCCTGTGTCTCCTGTCTCTTCAGTCTCTCCTGTAACCCCTCCGTGGGGGAACGAGGTCTGCGCACGCTGCGAAGAATTAGACTGCGAGCAATTCGACTCGGTCTCGCGGTGCTCAAGGCGGCAAAACCACTCCTCCCACTGCCGCACAGCGCGGGCGGCGGCCGGAAAGCCGAGCGCGTCGGCGAGAAGCACGAGGAAGAGGAGGAGGACGGCGCGCGCGCAGCGGAAGAGGAACGAGAGGAGATCGCGGAGGCGCTCGCCTCGAGGCGCGGAGGTCGTGAGAGGGGCGAAGGACGTGAGAGGACGGACAGGACCGTTGAAGCTAGAGCGCGACGCAAGGAACGACCAACGCTAGCGCGTTGAAGCTGGTGATGCGCTGCTGCGCAAGTGCTGGCTACGATTGATAGGACGACGATCACTGAATTCAATGCTCTACTCACCCTCCCTGCTCGCTCTTGCTGACCTGAACTCTCCCGATGGACATAAACAGTGGATGAATGTTGAGCCATTCCGCACTGAACTATAACGAGGATGCAAATGTGCGGTGTGGAGGAAACAGGCAGAGAGCGACGATGTGGACCAAGAACTGAGGAGGGGCCGCCACGTCACCACTACGTCGGGTGTGTCCCGCTGATAGCCACGTCGCCTCACTATAGCACTCGAAATTCTCCCTGTAGTGAGTTGCTTCTACACATACAATCCGCATTGTCAACAATTTCCATGAGCAGTGTCATGAATGCCATTATGATGAAGCACATACAAAAAATCAGAAAGAAAGAACACGGGGAAACCGTTTTCCACGCATTATATGTTACAGCAGCACCCCCAATTCAATAATTATGTACACCAACAACCTACTGCATGGTCTTGCTACTCCTAGGGAGATGGTACGCCTCATATCCCTTCATGCTATCATGCCTCTCCAGTGCTCCTCTCAGTGCTTCCACTATCGTGCCCTCGCCGGGAAGGGCCTTGTTGTCTATGGCCCCCTTCCTCCTCACCACCACCACCCACTCCCCAAACTCCCCACCATCACCACTGTCACAACCATCATTAGTAGTTACACCACGAGCACCAGCATCCAACGGCTCCACAGTGATGACGAACGATCCAACGGACGTGAGAAGATCACCTCGCATGGTGATCAGCGTTAGCTAGGTGCCGTCTGATTGGTTGTCCGCACATACGGGCAGAGGAAGGGGCAGCTCGGAGGAAAAAGGCCAGAGCGTGGCCCACTGCTAGATGAAGGGTATGAGCTGAATGATGGGGGAAATAGGGCAAAATGGGGGGAAATGGGTGGGGCGGATGGGGAGGATGGGGAGGAGTAGGATGTAGCGGAGGGGGAGGTGTGAAGGTTAAAAAGACATGAACGAATTTTGCATGCTGCGAATGAGGGGGAAGACGAGACGGGAGGGTGAAATCAAGTTACAACTGAAGTGCAGACTTGGGGAGATGGGAAAAGACGACAGGAAACACATCCCCCATACCCTCGTTCCCCACCACCACCACACACGTCCCCCTCTCACCTCCTCGACGCCCTCTCTGGCTGGCTACCTGAGAATCTCCGATGATGCTGCAATGCCCAGCATTGCATGCCACCTTTTGAGTAGACTTATAACACGACTTACCACCACCACACCTGTCCCCTCTCACCTCCTCATTGACGCCCTCCCTGTCAGAATCCCAGCCACTAGACCACTGGGATAAAAGGGCTTGTTAACTAGCGGGTCAGTGCGCCCATAACCCCCCAGGCCAACATGTATGTAACCCTTCCCTAGGATCAATTGGGGATCACCAGTGGACCTCTGACACCCCCCCGCACTAGGATGCCCGAAGTGCACACACTGGGATTCGAACCCGAGACCTTCGCTCTGATACCATGTCAGAATCCCAGCCACTAGACCACTGGGATAAAAGGGCTTGTTAACTAGCGGGTTAGTGCGCCTATAACCCCCCAGGCCAACATGCCTGTAACCCTTCCCTAGGATCAATCGGGGATCACCAGTGGACCTCTGACACTCCTTGGCTGGCTGTCTGAGAATCTTCAACGACGCAACCGTGATTTTGAGGCTCCTAGAAAAATGCGGGTAGATAGACGACTTTTGAGGCGACTCAAATCTCTCACCTCCTCTTTGACGCCCTCCCCGGTTGGCTGTCTGAGAATCTCCGATAATGCTGCCGTGCCCAGCATTGCATGCCATGGGAACCACCCCCCCTTCTTCCCTTCCTTTCCTCCTCCTCCACCTCGCCCTCCTCCCTTTCCTCCTTCCTCTCCCCTTTCCCCCCTTGCAATGCTTACTTTCGCAAGGATATCTTATTTTCACTGTTAAGGAAAATAAAACATCCTTACGAGAATTTGTAATCCTAGAGCTAAATCCAAACTGGGGATACTGCCACACGTAAGGCCAAAATGCTAGAATTACTGTATGGGATCTGCAAATTAAGTTCTGCCAAACCCAAGTGAGGATTGCAAATCATAACCGCAAGCAATCAATTAGTAAGCATTATTGCTTGAGAACAATTTTATAATACTGACTAGTAGTGTATTCGTTTTACCTCATACAACCGCAGCTGTTACTGGTGCACTGCGTCCTCCCGGCAAGCATCCCCGCTGCAACCACCGCTGCTGTTGATACCCCTGCCTTTCCACCATCCTCTTTGTCTGCCGTAACAACGCTCTTACTGCTGTTGCTGCTGCTGCTGCTACTGCTGTTGCTACTGCTGTTGCTGCTGCTTGTGCTGCTGCTGCTGCTGCTGCTGCTGCTGCTATTGCTGGTGATACTGTGCCCTTCCAGCAAGCATCCTCGCTGCAACCACAGCAGATAGCTGCTGCTATTGATGCCTCTGCTGACGCACCTTCTTCTGCTTCCGCTGATGTTGCCCTCCCACTGCCCCTGGCCCCCCTACTCCACCTGCAGCAACTGACTCTTGCTGTGCCGCAGCAGCAGCTGTAGCATCCCTAGGAGAGAGCATGGCTAGCGATGTGCCCATGGCAAGAGGGCTGGAGCCTGGCTGAGCCCAAGCAAGCGACCCACCGCCTCCTGCTGTGCTTCCCTCCTACTGTCGCTGTCGCTGCTGCTGCGATGCAAGTTGATCACTCTCTGGCTGCTGCATCACGGTGAACGCCAAGGGGTAAGCGTGTTCTGAGGGCGCGGACGTCACAGCAGCACTAGCGGTGGCAGGCGGGTGCATTCCCACATATACGTACGGTGTGCCATGCCCACCATGAGTACCTTCGTGACCAGGGTGCTGTGGGTGGCTTGAATGGCTGGGATGCATGCTTGGGTGAACGTTCATATGCATGCTGCCATGTTGTGGCATGTTGGCATGCTATTGCGACATGTGATGCCCTACCCCGCCCGGCATAGCATAATGTGGCGCCATGCCATGCGGCAAGGAGGGCGTCGGATACCCATGCATGCTTGCATGCATGCCCGCTGGGATCGGGTAGAGGTAGTGAGGAGGGGGTGGCATGGCGTGGTGTTGGCCGTGGGTGGAAGAGGGGTGGGGCATGGCATGCATGCTCTGAGGATGGTTTGGTGGGGGGGGGGGTGGCATGGCGTGGTGCGGCGCTTGGGTAGATGTGGTGGAAGCGGGGTGTGGTATGGCATGGTAGTGGGGATGGTTCGGGGAGTTGACGAAGGAGTTGACGAAAGGTAGGCCTTCCTCCCTTACGTCTCCCATTCCCGCCTAGTTCCCTTGGGTGGCCATCCCCTCCATTCCGTCCGCGTGCTCTCATTCGCACGCGCATGTGATCCGCGTTCTCTCATTCGCACGCGCATGTGATCCGCGTTCTCCCATTCGCACGCGCATGTGATCCACATGCTCGGTGTCGCACGCGCTTGTGATCTGCGTGCTCCCATTCGCACGCGCCCGGCTGCATTCACGCCTCCTCATCTCGTCATGCCCACCTTTTCAAACTCCCTTTCTCCCATGCTGGTCGTCCCTTTCTCCCACGCTGGTCGTCCCTTTCTCCCACGCTAGTCGTCCCTTTCTCCCGTGCTAGTCGTCCCTTTCCCCCTCGCGTCCATCCCTCCCCTTGTGCCTCCCTGCATCTCAGCTCTCACCCTTTCCCCCATGCACATCGTCGCATGACCAAAGCCACTCGTCCCGTCCTCCCTTGCGCAGTCGTCCCATTCCCCCTCTCCTCCCTTCCTCCCACACGGCCCCTCCCCCAAGGCAGTTGGGCTAGCGAGTGGCCATCGCTATCACAATGATGTAGGTGTGTGGCTATCACGCACTTGCTGACTTTCCTCCCATGTCTCCCTGCCCTTGCACCCTTTCCCATCCCTCCTGCAATCACTCCCACACGTCGCTCTAGACCCCTCCCCCCAAGGCAGCTAGGCGAGCGAGAGGCCATCGCTATTACAACAGCGGTGTAGGTGTGCGGCTATCACCACCGCCCCACCCACCTGCTGACTTTCCTTCCTCCCATGTCTCCCTGCCCTTGCACCCTCTCCCATCCCTCCTGCAATCGCTCTCACACGTCGCTCTAGGCCCATCTCCCGCAGCAGCTAGGCTGTGGCCATCGCTATCACAACGGTGTAGCTGTGCGGCTATCACCACTACCCCACCCACTGGCTTTCCTCTCATGTCTCCCTGCCCTTGCACCCTCTCCCATCCCTCCTGCAATCACTCCCACACATCGCGCATGGCCCCTCCCCCAAGGCAGCTAGGCGAGCGAGAGGCCATCGCTATCACCACAGTGGCCACGGTGTAGGTGTGTGTGCGGCTATCACCACTGCCCCACAATCTCTCTCACACGTCGCTCATATCCCCTCCCCTACAGCAGCTAGGCGAGCGAGTGGCCATCGCTATCACCACGGTGTAGGTGTGCGGCTATCACCACCTCCCCACCCACCTGCTATCATCCGTCAGTGTGCGCGCAGCTGATGGAGGAGGAGCAGATGGAGGAAATAGAGATGGAGGAGCAGCAGCAGACGGAAGAGCAGCAGCAGACGGCGTGCCATGCGGGAGTCGAGGGCTGGCTGTTGAAACATGTCAATCAGGCCAGGATCGAGTAAGCGGAATTGGTGATGGAGACAGCGAGAGAGGCATTGGCGTTGGACAAGGTACAAGAACTCCTCAATGAGAGGGCACATCAGGTTATTTGGGAAGCCTTCCAAGAGATAGCTGACAGGATAAAAACCCCTCGCGTGATTCGAGCGACGACGATGCAGAAAGGCCACTTGGACCTCCCGGCTACATGTGAATGGAGCAATGACGATGCAGAAATTCCAATGTTGTTTACTAATCCTTCTCCTCCTCTGGGGCTCCAGGGCAGCGAGAAGAGTGGGCCGTACACGGGGACCGACAAAGACGAGTCGGAAGAGGAAGAGTCGGAAGAGGGAGAGCCCGCGAGAGGCCAACGCGCGAGCGATCCCACCCTGCCCCCGGCTGCTGCGTCCCCACGTTTTCCGAAGCGGGCTTCTGCACGCGTGGTGTCTGCGCTCGCACCAACGGCCCGCAAGCGCCCGCGGGCTGACGGAACAGGGGATGTGCGCGAGGTCAAAGGCGCTGGCGTGGAAATAGGGGTCGGCGGAGGCGGCAGAGCAGCAAGCGGAGCAGCAAGCGGAGCAGAAAACAAGGGTGTCGGGGCCGACGAGGTGGGAACGGCGGGTGAAGGCCAACGCGCGAACGACGCTAGGACAGCACAGGCGGGTGGAGCAGAGAAACGTACCGTGCGTGATGCCAAGGACGCGGGGAAGGTGGAGAGATTGAGGCTGGCCGACATCTTTCAGTTGGAGAGCGGAGAGTGGGTTGCCCAAGCAACCATCCGTGGGCAGCAATGGTACCTGGGGTGGCAAAGGAGCCGAGCGAATGTTCTCTACCTCCTATGCATGGCGCGGACGGTGTTTGGCGAGCCGGCTGACCTGGGTTTGGAACTCCACACGATCACGCAGGCCGCGTGGGAAGCAGAGTGGAAACAAGCGCGCCATATCCCTCCTGGCCTGTGGGCGGTCATGCATGGCCACATGCTCACGCACACTGTGCACAGGTGGGTGCCGGGTGGTGCACGGGTGGGTGCTGGGTGGTGCAAAGGTGGGTGCCGGGAGCGTGCTTTCTTGCGCTACCAGGATGTGTTGCTCTCTTTACCAGGATGTGTTGGTTGCATTGCACGCACGGCTGACAAGATGTGGTGGTGCGGACCGTATTTTGTCTCTTGCAGCTTTCAGACATGTCTCAGTGAGCTGTGTGCGTGCAGTAGGCCTAAAGAAACCCGCGTGGCCTGTGTTCTGTCTCTTGCAGGTACCGCATGGTTCTAAGCAGTTTCAATGCTTCGGCGGGCGACGGGGAGAGTGACGAGGAGAGCAGGGTGTCGGCCCTCTGCGCGGCCATTGGGGCCACCGCCGCCACCGTCGAGAAGTGTGGCACTGCCACCGAGCTTTACGCTACAGCGCTGGCGGCGTCATGCGCGGCGGTGTGGAGCATCTGGCGTGGAGACAGCACCGCCTCAGCTGTGGAACGCGCTGTTGCTGTGGCCAGAGCTGTTGGTGCAGCGCTGCCGCGATTGCGGCTCTGCAGGCTCGCGACCGGCGTGGTCTTGGCCACTTTGGGTAACGAATCCGGGAATCCGGAGGGGCGGCCAGTTCGGACCCGGATGGGCACGTTGCGCAGGTGATGGAGCAAGCGTTGGGCGGCGCGGGCCTGGCGAGGAATAAGCCTGCCAAGGTGGTGGTTAAAAAGATGGTTGACACGCTAGGCCTGTGGTCGGCTTGTGCTGCCGCTGCAGATCCTCTAGTGAACCGCGACTTCCACATGCCCCTGACTGCCTCGATGAAACACAAGCTTGAAGCGCGAGGATGAAGATTGGGGCCTTGAAGGGCCTCGCCTTGAAGGGCCCCGCCTCGAAGGGCCCCGCCTCTGTTAGAGCGGGGCTGAAAATTGGGTCCTTGGAGGGCCCCGCCTCCGCCGGATAGCTCCGTTCCGCACGAATATCCCTTGAGTGCTCAACTCATGTGCCCCACAATCCACCGGCTTGCTTGTACTCTGGTGCAGAAGCCTTTGACGGGATGCCTGCTTGAGACTGTCTAGTCTCTTAGCCATGTTACTGGGTAACATCCCATTCCGTCTATCTTTTCTGAAGGATACATGTCTGCTAAAACCTACAGCGGACGGTTCCTCCTTGGTAGAGCATTGGGGGGGTCGTTCTTGAGTCTTGACAGGCATGACCTCTCGTATTAGAAGATATTGGGACATGATTGCAATGAGCTGCACTTGTGAGGAGCAGGTTTAAGCAAGTAGGAAAGACAGTGTGAAAAACACTCAACACTAGCTAATCACCAAGAGTATGTGAAGCTGAAGCCCTTCTTGGTAGAGCGCTGGGTTCGTTCTTGACAGGTGTGAGTGACCTGATCTCTCATACCCTGCCCTATTAAAAAGGACACCACCAGTGGCCTTTGAGCAATGCAATGAACGAGATAAAAAACATTTAGGGCTGGTTTTAGGCACAACGAGACTGCTAGCTAGGCTAGCTGTCATGGCTAACAACGACAACCTATGCGAGACACCTCATAGGGCGTTTATTCAGGAAAGGGGCGTTTTAATGTGATTGCACGCCCCCCGCTTTCACCGGTATAAACCATATACGTTGAACTCTATAAACAAATGACTGCCTTCCTTAGAGAGTGTTGGTAATAAGTGTTTTCATGTTCTTTGCTCCAATTCTGATGCTTGAATACGGGTACCACCTGGTATTTTTAAAAGCCACACAAGGCTCTCTACATGCAATCCTGCGTACAGTTCCTATTGGTGAAATTGCACGGAAACACCATAGATGATGCAATACGCACACTAGCCCCTCTCACTTCCACTCTCACTACCACTCTCATTTCGGAAAGCATACTCCACAATGAGACCCAAATTATCCACTAACCGATGAAACTTCTCGCAGCCGCCACACTTCAGTGCGCATCAAGACAAAACAGAGAAAGGGGGAACAATGGAGCATGAGCAATGCAAGAGGACGAGGCACATTAACACAAACAACAGAAACAAGGGAGTCATGATAACATTAGGCACATGAAAATCAGGCATAGGCCTGGAGTGGAATGAACTAGGGAGTCGCCTCGTCTCCCTCGCCCAACTTGCTCCCCCCTCACCTGCAGAGGTTGTTCCCTTATTCAGCGCCAGAGGATTGACGAGCCGTGGATTTTTAAGTGCCTCAAAAGACCTCAAAAGTGAGGCGCCTCAAAGGGTTGGCCAGCCATGAGGTTCAAAGTCACCATGAGGCGCCACACACATATCAATGTCACCATGAGACGCCACACACCTGCTAGCATATCAATGTCACCATGAGGTGCCACACACCTACTAGCATATCAATGTCACCATGAGGCGCCACACACCTACTAGCATATCAATGTCACCATGAGGCGCCACACACCTACTAGCATATCAATGTCACCATGAGGCGCCAAGCACCTACTAGCATATCAATGTCACCATGAGACGCCACACACCTACTAGCATATCAATGTCACCATGAGACGCCACACACCTACTAGCATATCAATGTCATCATGAGGCGCCACACACCTACTAGCATATCAATGTCACCATGAGACGCCACACACCTACTTGCATATCAATGTCACCATGAGGCGCCACACACCTACTAGCATATCAATCTCACCATGAGACGCCACACACCTGCTAGCATATCAATGTCACCATGAGGTGCCACACACCTACTAGCATATCAATGTCACCATGAGGCGCCACACACCTACTAGCATATCAATGTCACCATGAGGCGCCACACACCTACTAGCATATCAATGTCACCATGAGGCGCCAAGCACCTACTAGCATATCAATGTCACCATGAGACGCCACACACCTACTAGCATATCAATGTCACCATGAGACGCCACACACCTACTAGCATATCAATGTCACCATGAGGCGCCACACACCTACTAGCATATCAATGTCACCATGAGACGCCACACACCTACTAGCATATCAATGTCACCATGAGGCGCCACACACCTACTAGCATATCAATCTCACCATGAGACGCCACACACCTACTAGCATATCAATGTCACCATGAGACGCCACACACCTACTAGCATATCAATGTCACCATGAGGCGCCACACGCCTAGCATACCAACGCCACCTCCACACTGCTTGCTTCCTCTCACCTTTCACCCGCAGCTAACTCCCCTCACTCATCATTCTCGCCCATCCCATCCCTGTCAAACTCATATGCTATAGTCTGTGTAGGCTGTAGTGGGGTAGACAATATGGGGTACAACACTTTTAGGTTTTCCTAATTGTACCCACCTGCTTGCTAGTTCAATCATTCCTCATTCTTCAAATGGTATAGAGCAGGTTCCCTAGTGGGAACGCTTCCTTGGGCCCACCACTGAAAATTTCCTTTCTGACCGGAGCGCCAGTTGCTCCTACCCGAGGCGCGCCTTTCGCCGCCCTCCCTAGGCCCCTAGTGGCCCCTAGCGGCCTTGTCGACGCCCCAATGGGGCCCCGAAGCCGCCATTAGCGGCCCCGTCACCGCCCCTAGCGGCCCCGTCGCCGCCTTTCACCCTACGCGCTCACAGAATTTATATGTAACTGCCTGTAGCTGTAGTTTAGTGTAGTTATTATAAACTGTTGGTGGTGCACCTTCTTTGCATGCTCTGTTTACTATATGTACCCTAGTGCTATAGTGAACAAACACCTTTTCCAATTCTCTCGACTCTCTCACCTTGGCACAAACTCCTCGTCTTCCTCTTGGCCTAGGCTACTAAGCCTAGGCCCGCCCTAAATCTCAACTACCACTTATGCTCGTATCTTAACACGCGGCCCCCTCGCCGCCCCTACGCGGCCCCGTCGCCGCCCCTCCGCGGCCCCGTCGCCGCCCTTAGCGGCCCCGTCGCCGCCCCTAGCGGCCCCGTCGCCGCCTCTCACCCTACGCGGCCCCGTCGCCGCCCATACGTGGCCCCGTCGCCGCCCTTAGCGGCCCCGTCGCCGCCCCTAGCGGCCCCGTCGCCGCCTCTCACCCTACGCGGCCCCGTCGCCGCCCCTAAGCGGCCCCGTCGCCGCCCCTAAGCGGCCCCGAAGCCGCCTCCTAAGCGGCCCCATCGCCGCTCCCCTCCCTAAGGCCCCATCGCTGCACCAAGCGGCCCCGACGCCGCCTCTACCGAGCACCACAGCAGCAGAGCCGCCAAGCCGCCCAGCAGCAGAGCCGCCGAGCCGCTTGACCGCCGAGCCGCCAAGCCGCCGAGTTGCCCGACCCCGAGCCGCCCAACAGCCAAGCAGACGAACCGCCGAGCCGCCTGACCGCCGAGCCGACCAGCCGCCGAGCCGCCGAGCCGCCGAGCCGCCCAACAGCCGAGCCGCCCAGGAGCCGAGCAGCTGAGCCGCCGAGCTGCCTTGCCGTCGAGCCTACTAGTCCTACTGGCGCGCCCCGGCCCTACTTGCTCGTACTGGTGAGCTCACTCCTTGTTAGACCTCTGCACTCATGGCTACCCCTAGTGTTCTTACCTTTGACACTGAGGGTCGTGCTGTTGACTTTGAGGTCTGGGTCGATGACCTCCAGCTGTTCCTCCAGTGCAATAGGGCAGACGGCCTCTCTCTGTTCGACCTCACCTCTGGTGCCTCCCCTGCCCCGCCTGCTACTGCTAACAGCACTGTTCGCTCACAGTGGGCGACACGCGATGCTGCTGCCCGTCTTGCTGTGCGTTGCCACTTACCGACCACTGAGCGTGCACACTTTAGCCAGTACAAGAGTGCTCAGACCTTGTACGACGCTGTAGTTGCACGCTACTTTTCCCCTGCCACTACTGCACTCAGCCGCCTCATGCTACCGTACCTCTTCCCTGACCTTGCTGCCTTTCCCACAGTCGCTGACCTCATTACGCACCTCCGCACTAGTGACACTCGCTACCGCGCTGCGCTTCCTGCTGAGTTCTGTGCCAAGAACCCCCCTCCCCCCATGTACATCACCCTCTACTACATAGTCACCCGGCTCCCTGACTCCCTTCGCGTAGTCAGGGACCACTTCCTCTCAGTTTTCCCCACCACACTATCCGTTGACCTCCTCGAGGAGCGCCTCCTAGCAGCAGAGAAGAGCATAGTCGCTGTAGGAGCCTCTCGTGGTGACCCTTGCTCCCCCGTCTTTGAGGGGTGTTCCCCCTCCCCCCTCTTGCCCTCTGTTGCTTCTGCTGCTGCGGCCGGCCTCGTTGGTTTCGAGTCGGTCGGCGCTGCGTCTGCCCCTAGCGGGACACGCCGCACCGGCAAGGGCAAGGGGGGCAAGGGCGCTGGAGGGGCTGGCGGGGGCGGTGGAGGTGGTGGTGGAGGCAGTGGAGGGGGTGTGGTTTGGTGGTGGGAGTGGTGGCGGGGGTGGAGGTGTCGGTGGCGGCGGTGGAGGCGGAGGAGGCGGTGGCGGTGGCGGAGGGAGCGTAGGCGGCGGAGGTGGCGGAGGCGGCGGAGGTGGCGGAGGCGGCGGAGGTGGCGGAGGCGGCGGTGGCAGCGGTGGAGTGGGTCCGGTGGTGGTCCGCGCCAGCAGCAGCAGCGCAGTCGTGAGACCCTGTCCCCTCAGCAGCTTCGTGAGTGGTACGCTGCGCGTCAGCGCGGTGGGGGTACTGGTCCCTGCACCTACGTCCTCCGTACCGGC